TTTTGCTCCCCCCCATGCCTCGGGGATCCCAGGCCCTGCCGTCGTGGGAGGAGTGGGAAGGTCCGCGGAGCTCAGACCCGGGTCCGAGGGGGGCCGCCCGGAGACCAGGGTCCCGGGGAGCAGACGTGGGGGCCGGAGCGCCCTGCTTCCTCCAAATCTCATGACTCAGCACTACCTGTGACGCTCGGTCCCTGCAGCAGCCCGCGCCCCCGGTGCAGACACCCCCACAGCCCTCCTGGACTCTTCATTTACCTGTCCCGCTTGTCGCCCCTACCCAGGCACAGGGCTTTCCGTTTTAACTAAAAGAGGAGCGGCGTCCTTTCCGCTCCCCCACCCCAGGGGGGCTCCTCCCCCTCCATTCCTTGCCTCATTCCACAGGTGCCTCAGGCCCCCAGCCCACCTTGCGCCTAGGCCTCTCCCTCTGCACCCCCAGTTCCCCGCAGAGAGGAGGTGCTCTCCCCAGGGCAGCGCGGTGCAAGGACAAAGGAGGCGCGCTGGGTCCCTGCAGTGGGGCGAGGGAGGGCCGAGGCTGGCAGGGCTGGGAGGCCCAGGTTGGAATGGTGGGCACCAGCACCGGAAATGCACGATGTCTGGGAGCATCGGGAGGGTGGACTGGAGCCCGACCGAGAGCCTGGCGCAGGGCATTTCAGAGTGAAATCGCTTGTCCTGAGCCACTTTCTCCAGCTCTTGCCAAACTGGCCAGGGTAGAGAGTGAGGAACAAGGTGGCCCTTACTCCTTCCAGCCGTTTCCCCCTGCATAGTCCGGGTCCAGCTTTTGGGCTGGTGGAGGCATCTCTGGTCAGCAGAGGCAAGGGAAAACAGCAAAAATAGCCCTTCTGGATACCCCTGAAGCTGAGCCAGGGGGGCAGGTGGGAGGGGGCAGGCAGCTCTGGTGCAGAGGGACGTGCCTGGCATCCTGGTGGCAAGCAGTGGCCTGGCAGGCACTGCAAGCTGCAGCGTGTGTCAGGGCTCCAGGGGGTGAGTCAGCATCAAGGGTCCACTGAGGCACACTGTGGCCTGGCCTGGGCTGGGCGTCCAGCCACCCTCCCCCACGCTCCAGGGAGTGAACAGTGCCCACTGACCCCTGTCCTGGGCTTCTCTCTCTCTGTGCCAAGTGTCTGCCCTGGCTGGCTCCAGACACATCTGGGCCTCATCCTCTAGTTCCCTGCCTGCTTTTTCTGGAAACCTCTTGCGCTTGATCCTTACCACCTGCCCTGTGCACCTGGCCCAGGGAGGTGCTGGGGTTTTGGGGAAGGGGGAAGAGGGAGGCTGGGGCAGGGCCAGGGCCAGGGGTCCCAGCGACTGTCTAGCTTAGACCTGGCTGGGCACTGTAGCAGCGGGGACCGCCGCTCTGTGGCAAGTCGCTTAGCTCTGCGGCCCACAGGCTTTTCCCAGGCAGCCCGGTGTCTCTTCTTGCGGGGTGGGAGGCTCAGCTGAGCACGTGTCTCCTTTCAGCTTGGGGGCCTGACATCCACCAAAGAGCAGGGAAAGAAAAAGGTGTCCGTGTTTGTGTAGAGAGCTCCCTTTCCCCACGGAGGAGTCTGACTGGCTTCACCTGGGACTGGAGTTGGTAAAGCCTGTGCCTCATGGACGATCTGGCAGGGCCCGAGAAGCCCTCTCCAGAGCTGAACTGGGCCTGCTGACCTGCACTGCAGCTGGAGCTCATTCTAGTCTTTCCCCCGGGGCAGGGCAGCAGGTGCACCGAGACCAGGCTAGCAGTGCAGGGGCAGGCTTTCGGGATGGCTGGAGAAGCCTCGCCCTGCCAACCACCCGGGTCCTCCCCATGTGGGGGAGTGTGTCTGACCTTTATCACTGTTCTGACGTGGCTGGGTCTCCTCTCTCTTCCCTGCCAAGCCTGTGTAGCTCTGCAGGGGGACAGTGGATAGAGGGGCAACAGGAGGCTGGCAACAGCCCAGGTGGGACCACCAGGATGGAAAAATCGCGTGCCAGTCCTTTCCCTGTACCAAGGCATCCCCGTGGCGAAGGGAGGCTATGGTGGGTACAAACACTGCCTCTCCTGCCTGTGAGATTTGCTTTGTGGCCCTTCCCGATGTAGGCAGGCTCCAGCGGACGTAGATTTGCTTGTCTTGAGTTGGACGTCTCAGTGCAGAGTGGTGACCCTCTGAGGGGCTGGCAGGGCCAGCCAGGGGAGCCACGTGGGGGAGGTTAAAGCAGGAAGCAGCTAAAGAGTTAAGCGGGAGCCAGACAGGCTGGGGTTCAAATCCCTAGGTCACTACTGTGCTGTGTGTAACCCTACTCGTTCTTTCATACAACAAGGCTTTTATTAGTGAGCACCTACTGGGTGTTGCCGTTGTAGACTCTGTGGATGCATCAGGGAACTCAACAGACAAAAACCACTGCTGTTCTGGGTTTTGCATTCCTGTGGGCCTGGGCCAGTTAGCCATCTGGTCACCAGTTTCCACATTCATTGAACTGTTTCCTCCTCTTGTAGCATTGAGGATTGAGCCCAGGGAGTGCTGACCTCATCCTCAGCCCCTCCAGCTGGAGGGAGCCCCCTTTTTATTTATTTATTTTTTGGTTTTTTGAGACAGGGTCTCACTATGTAGTTGAGACTGACCTGGAACTCACTATGTAAACCAGGCTGGTCTCAAACTCACAGCGATCCTCCTGCCTCAGCCTCCCAAGTGGTGGGATTACAGGTGTGTGCCACCAGGCCGGGCATCCCCCTTTTTTAAATTGTATTTTGAGATAGGGTCTCACTGGGTTACCCAGGCTGGCCTTGAATTTCTGATTCTTCTGCCTCAGCCTGAGTTTCCAAGTAGCTGAGTTTCCAGGCGTGCACCACCGTGCCCAGCTCATACACAGTTTTCCTAAGAGGCAGAGTGATGACTACAGACACGTTGTTGGGTTTCCCTAGGGCCCGCACTTGCTCGGAAGGTAACAGGTTCCTGCTAGCATGAACCACTGGTGGTACAAATGGGTCTAACCACTTTTATTGGCCTTTTTAACTAATAAAATTAATAAAAAGCTGCCTGATGGGAGAGTCATGCCTGTATCATGGTTCAAGACAACCGGCAGCAAGACGTAGGAAGCGTGGCCCCAATGTGAATGTGCTAAGCAAACGTGGCCCTGTGTTCCCATCTATGGCATAGGTTGCTTTGGTGAGGATTGAATAGATTCCTATAAGTGTTAGGACAGCGCCCGGAGCAGAATGAGCACCTCGAAGCGCTGGCCATCGTTATGATGCCTGTACCTCCTCGCTGCTCTTTCTTGCCCCCTGCCCCAGGGCTCTGACTTGGGTTCTGCAACTGGTGGGAGACTTTTCCACTTCTTGACCCGAGGGATGGGGCCACTGTCACTGCCCTGGTGGCTGTTCCTGTACTTCATCCCCCCAACTTTCAGGTGGTTCTTTATGCTTCCCGGTCTGTTTCTTGCCAAACATTAATTTCTGGGAAGGATTTGTCCTGACGCCTTTCCTTTGCAAGCCTGGAACAGACCCTTCCAAGGAGTCACCGCACCGGGTCCATTTGGATCCAGCCCCGTGGGGCCGCGAAGTCAGTGTGGCCTCCAGGGGGCGCTCCGCGGACATTCCGGCCCCTGGAGGCTGCTCTGAGAAAAACTGCAGACCAGGGCTCCCCAGGTACAAAGGTGAGCGCAGGCTGGAGTGGCAGCTTCCGACCCGGGGTGATTTCCAGATGAGGGCGGTGGTCCCCACCCTGACCCAGGGAAGAGCAGCCTGGGTTCTGGAGGCCCCTCCGGACCTTCCCACTTAGGATATGAGCTGTGGCATCCTTTAAAACGGCCACTGAGAGCAAGGGGTGATGGTATCAGCATTCTCAGAGGCTGAGGCAGGGTGATCCCAAGTTTGAGCCCAGCCTGGGCAGCTTAATGACTTAGATCCTATCTCAAAATTTAAAAAGAAGTAAAAAGGGCTGGGATGTAGCTCAGTGTGAAGGTCCCAGGTTCAATCCTCAGTACTTGGATAAAAAGCCCCGGAACCTCAGAGCATTTGATGCTCCAGGCAGCCCCCAAAACCAAGGATAAGGGCAAGAAAGGAAGTTACTAGATGTCATGTCAGAAGACACCTTTGCCACTTTATCCAGGGGCCTAGAGATTTCAGTTTTTGCTACGTGCAGTTCTTACCATCAGGCATAAGAAAAGTCAGAGCCAGTGGGGCACAGTGGTGCAAGTGTATAATCTCAGCTACTTTGGAGGCTGAGGCAGGAGGATCCCAAATTTGAAGCAAGCCAGCTTGGGCAATTTAGTGTTTAAAAAAAGGGTGGAGATGTAGCTCAGCGGTGGAGCATTCCTGTGTTCAATCTCCAGTACTGGGTAGGGGAGGCAGAACTCAGACCCCCCCCAGCCTTGCCCCATCCTGGCCTCTGCCCACCAGCTCCCCACTTTAGCCATTCAGAAAGGAAACCACAGCCCCTGTCCCTGCAGCCCTCAGTACCACTGTGGACCTTGGGTCGGCCCTCACTGTCCCCGTGGTACAATGCGGATGCAGAGGCCTGAGTAAGTGTATGCCTTGTTCAAAACCCCCAGACCATAGGCCCTTGGGGGGCAGTAGCTGATGAGAAGTTTTCCTTTTCTGCCCCCTCTGTTTTAGCCAGTTCTGCCCGCAGCACGGCCCAGAGAATGTGCTCCCAGAGTCCTCTGGGGGTGTAAGGAAACTTCGAGACTGTGACCACACCTCAGAATTTTGTTTTGTTTTGTTTTTGGTACTGGGATCGAACTCAGGACCTTGTGCTTGCAAGGCAGGTGCAGCACCACTGAGCTAAATCCCCAGCCCAGAATTTTTTAAATTAGGTATTGATCCTTGGAGAAATCCAAGAGCTCCCCGCCTGGTGTAGGTATAGGTTTCCCTTGAGCCTCTGCCTAAGGGCTCTGGCATCTTCTGGAGCATCTGCCCCGTGGAGGTGGGGAGGAGCATGTGGGCGGACCAGAGTGAAGGTGAGGGGACCTAGCTGCACCCCCAGCCTCAGCAGCCTTTTCAGTATGGGGGCGCAAGTGCTCCCTAAGCCTGCAGCGGAGGGGCCTCAGTGCGCCTGGCTGGACATCGTGCGTGCATTAGCAGTGGTGGGGCTGGTTCATGTCTCTGTGTCCTTCGGAGCCCAGGCTTGAGGAGTCAACCCGCTGGGGCTTAGCCCCAAAGCCAACCTCGCATGCAGGGGCAGCTGGAGTCCCTGCCACCCTCTTCCTCCTGTGGTTCATTCAGCCGGATCGGCATCTCTCTGGGAAAGGCGCTAGGGCTATAAGAGAACTCAAAATAATGGTTCCTCATCCCTGGGGACTCCCCAAGAGCAGGGCGTGGGGTTCCTTCTCTCCTGGTGCCCCTTGACCCACACCCCCAGGGGCCGCACTTGTGATGGCCGGCGTGGGGTAGTGGGGCTCCCAGCTGGTCCCCACACCTGGAATGGCGGCCTGCCTCCTTGCCTTCCTTCTGTGTGGAAACTGAGGCTCCAGAGCTTCATCCGGGACAGCAGGACCTGGGAGGACCGTGACTGGGTGGAGCCCAGGTGCTTCTGAGCGGGACAGGAAACCTTGGGCCCGGAGCAGCCCCTGGGCACCCATAATTGGGTTGATGTGGTGGCTCTGGAACATGGCAGTTAAGGAGGGGTTTACCCGTCACTGTTCCACGCTTCTCCATACTGGGTGCAAGTGGTTGTGACTGAGCGTGACTAGGGAGAGGGGAAATGGAAACAAATGAAGGCCTGGCACCAGAGGGCTTGGAGCCTGAGGCTGGGGCTGGGAGGAGCTTAACCCTTCCCTCCCCCACGCAGGCTGAGCAAGTGACCTGGAGGTGATGGGAGGCTGAGTGAGGTCAGCAGCCACTGTATCTGCAAGATGTGAGGGGCCGGGCAGAAGCACCCAGCCTCACTCTGGGCCGTCTTCAAAAATGCTTTTGATTCCACAGGGTGACGTTTCAGTACCAGCATCCAGTCCGTAATGGTGACATCAGGGTACCCGGCATGTCTGTCACCTCAGGCACCTATCCTTTCTTTGTGTTGGCGATCTTCAAATCTGCTGTCTACCCTAGGCCTTCCACTTGTCCCATTGGCTCAGGTTGCTTGGCACAGGTGGACGGAGCAGTAGCAGAAGCCAGGAAGGGGAGACTGCATTGGAGAAGGGCAGCCTGGCGGGGGAGAAATTGATTATAACCAACTGCGGCAGTGTGTGTGTGTGTGTGTGTGTGTGTGTGTGTGTGTGTGTGTGTGAGAGAGAGAGGAAGGAACACCTTCCTTGCACCCAGTCCCTCCCTCTCCTTTGGCTCTTCTCTCTTCCTTTTTATTCCTCCTCCTCACTCCCACTCATAGATTCAATTTCTTTTGACGTCAGATGAGGCAGGATATGTTATAGCTAGGTCAGACTGAATAGGGACAGGTGTGGGGTCTGTGTCCCCAGGGAGGGTGCCTGTGCGTCTCCCTCCAGAGCAGATGTGGCTTCCTCAAGGTCACCTAGTGCTCTGGGCCCCAAAGACACTTCCGATACCCTCTGTTCCCAAAGGCTGGAAGACGTGAGTGAAATCTCTTTTCCTCACCATTGATTCTGGCCTGAACTAACGATCCAGATATGCTGGGTTTGTGGTTCCTGTTTTGAAAAAGCCAGTGGGGAAAGAGCTTTTATGCACTTGTGGAAAAGAAGTCCTTGCTGATGACTGACCTTACTGTCTCTGGCTGCGCCTAGGCTTCCTGGAGAGGAGGAGAGCTGGGAGGCAGCTGGAGAAGTGGGCGTGACCGAGGGTGGCAGGGGGGTCTCTGAGGGCCGTTTTACACCTCTCAGGCATATTTGGAGAAAAGGGTATTTAACAAACACAATCCTTTCTCTCCATCCTCCTCAGGGCTGCCTGGTTCCCCCTTGTCATTGTCAACCATGGATCCCTTGCTGTTCAACTCAGAGCGACCAAAGTCCTAGGCCCAGTGATGTGATCTGTGATCAGTTGCCAGGAGGGACGGAGACCCACAAGGGGAAAAGGATCATCCATCCACAGCTCAGGGTATAGGTGGTGTCTTAGTTACTTTTTCTTATTGCTGAGACAATACCCAACACCCATAAGTTAAAGGAGGAATTTTTTTTTTTTTGGTACTGGGGATTGAACTTGGGTCCTTGTGCTTGCGAGGCAGGTGGCAGAACCACTGAGCTAAATCACCGGAAAAGGAGCAAAGGTTTATTCAGCTCACAGTTTGTGGAGGTTTTAGTCTATGGCTGCCTGGCTCCAAGGCAGGGAACATGGCAGAAGGGAATCACAGAAGGGAAACAGTTCATGGTGGGCAGGAGTCAGCAAAACAAACAGCAAAAAACGTGACAAGCAGAACAACAGCAGCCCTCTTTCTGTCTCTTATATTTTACCCAGGGGCAGGGAGCATTCACATTCTAATCCTAGCATTGCAGCATGAATGAGTCCCAGCATCGTGTCCTTGATACAACCACCGCTGAATAGCCCCACTTATGACTACATGAGGCTTTGGAGGGACACCTAGACGTAGGCCGTAACAGGTGGGATAGCAAGAGCCTGTTAAGTGCTGTGGGGTTCTGCGGGGAAGCTGCCTTGGGACTGAAACCCACCCTCGCCACTGGAGTCATGACAAGTTAGAGGTGAACCCTGGAAAGCTTGAGGGTGCCGTGTGGCTAGGATCCACGTCAATGGGAAGCAGGAAGTTAATTGGTGCTGCTCCTTCTCCCTGTGTGAGTCTCCCATGAGGAGGAAAAAGCATCACTTTAATAAGGCTGCCCTGGTTCCAAATCAATCCTGGCAGTGCAGGATGCGAAGAGGAAACACAGCTGAGAAAATAGATTAGCTCTTTGATGCTGGGAGCTGTGCTGGATGCGGTGGAAGGCAGGGAAGGAGGTTGGAGCCTGTGGTCGGCAGCCCAGCCCCAGGTGTCCAAGGCTTCCCAGGAGGCCCAGGTCTCACCCCATCAGATGTCCTGCCAGTCACGGGGCAGCAGGTACCTAGGGAGTGAACAGCACTATAACCTCACCACTGTAAGGCTGGGAAGAGTCCTCAGGCACGAGAAGTCCCATGCCAGCAGGTCTCAAAGTGTGGTCTGTCGATGCCTGTGAGTCCCCAAGAATTTTTCAGTGGGCTCTCTAAGGTCGAAGCAACTGTCGTGGTGAAACTAAGGTTGTCACCATCTTTGTTTTGCGGTGATGGTGGCAAAACAGTTGATACCTCGCCAGCATGATCAGCTGGCACCAAACTACCCTTGTTACCATATTCTTCCCCGCCACACCTGCTAAACAAACCAGCACATCAGAAAATGTCCACTTCAGAACATCTTTGATGGAGCAGCAAGATTATGACTTCATTAAATCTTGATGCTGGAGTTCACATCTTTTTAATATTCCTTCTGCTGAGAAGCTTGCATAAAACACTTGTGCCTACTGAAATACCATCTCTGAAAAACTAAAATTTAGAAAAGCCCACCACCAGACACTCATACATTTGAGTTGCAAGCTGAACTAGCCACGTTTTTCTTGGGCGAGCGCTATTTGTACCAGGGAAGATGACCACTAAGTTATGGTTATTCAGACTCGATGTGGAACAGGCATTTCTGCAGAAATGAGCTGAGCCTGTCACTTCAGGAAAAAGAACTGACAGTGTTGGTTGCCCATCTTAAAATGCAAGCTTTCAAGCGCAAATGAGACTTTTGGAAAACTCCTGTGTAGTCCTGTGGAAAGGACTGTTCTGATAAGATCAGTGGGGATATTAATGGATGTGACTTGTTGATGTCGCGTAGGGAATACTGTCAGTATCTGGAAGACCCGCACAGCTGAGAAAGCCAGTGTCTTCAGAATGATAAATGCATGATGTTATAAAATTATGCTCAGAAGGAAGAGACCTATTCCAAGCTGGAGGTTTAATAAAAAAAAATCTGACATATGTTGAATTTTAGTACCATATATTCCAGAATATCCACACTGGTCTGAGAAGTCTTTATTGAATACTCCTGCTCAGTATAGTGCTGTGTGTGCCTGTAGCTCAGGTGGCTGAGGCAGGAGGACTGAGGCCAGCCTGGGCAACTTAGTGAAAGCCGGTCTCAAAATAAAAATTTAAAAAGGGACTGGTAATGTAGCTCAATGATAAAGTACCTGCCTAGTGTGCATGAGGCCCTGGGTTCCATCCCCAGAATGGACTTAGCGGAGGGTGGTTCTTTCCCCCTTTTCCGTCTACACTTCTGTGTGACTGTGGATTTTTTTTCCCTACTTCAGTCAAAGCAGCTTACGGTGACAGATTGAACGCAGAACCTGATAGGAGCTTCTCGTAAACCGGATGTCAGAGAGATTTGCACAGATATAAGATGAGTCCTTCTTACTAGATAAAGCTTCTATTAGTTTTTTTTTTTTTGCCTTGAAAAATATACTTTTTATTGAAATGTGTAAGCATGTAATGAGTCTATTTTTAAAGCTAATAGAAATTCTCAGTTTTGGCTTCTAATAGGGTAAATATTAGTAATTATAACCCACAAAAGCTTATGCTCTCCAGGGTTTAGCAAGTGGACCTGGAGAACCCTCGTCCTCAGGGAAGCCCAGCTGGGGCCTGAGCACACAGTAGTGCTTTTCTTGCAGTTGGGAGAGGGGTGTCCAGAGAGAGCCCCCTTCTCCACCCTAACCCCGGTCTTCACCACAGCAACTCTGCCTTCACCTGTCTTGCATATGTGGGCTCTTAATACAGGGGATTCGCTTGAACTTCTGTTTAAAAAAAGGGATCAAGGTTTTTAAAGGATTTTAAAGCTCTGTAGTCGAAGTGTTTTTTCTTTTAAAGACAAAGCTCATGGAGAGTAGTGAGCACAGCAGTGCAGCGGGCAGAACCAGCACAGGAGACCCTGCCGTGGGTAAAGAGTCTCAGCCCAAGTTCCCAGTGGGGACGCAGCGAACGGTCACTGCTTTCTCATTTTACCTTTGTAACAAGCCCAAGCTCTACACAGGTAACATTTATAGATTATAATATCACCTGTTTAAAACATACAATTCACCGATTTTATTAAATTTACAGCACTGGGAAGCCATAATTACAGTACAGTTTTAGAGCACGTGATATTTTAAATCCAAATATAGAGGGAAACAGTCTCAGAAAGGTAAAATAAATGTCCCCAAGGTCAGCCCGCTAGTGGGTGACAGAATAAAAATCCAGACTGGGGTCTGTGTCCCCCAGTGCCACACTCCCTCCCGTTGCCCATGGCGCACACAGCCCCTTGCTGGGTGACCGCCACAAATGCCCCTGGTAGGCTGGTGTCACAGGACTCTGTGGCTGATCACATCCAGTCTGGGCACAGGTCCTGCCACAAAGCTCTGTGGTTGCTGAGAAAACCTGAATGTCAGCCATTCTCAGTAAAACTACACCGAGGGGACCCTTGCAGACTCCTTTGCTCGTCTAACCTGAAGCTCCTTTTTTTTTTTTTTTTTTTTTTTTTTTTTTTT